ATGACAAGTTGAGAATGTTCAACAGACAGGATGTAGGTCGACTGAAAAGATATCTAGGGGGAATATTCCGGAAAAAACCAGACGTGTTGAGACCTTTATTGGGGCAGATTGACATGAGTGTCAATCACCAGGGGGCGACAAGTCTTGGTTCGGTTACGATCTCGCGATATCTTCATTCGGACAATACAAAACCTGTCATAATAACATGGAGTGGCCTAACGGATATAAAGATCCTAAGAAAACTGAGAATAACAGGGATAGAGAAGATACTGGACATAACTAACTATAGTGTCGAAAATAATAATATATTTAGTTTATTACTAACAAATGTAAATAGTAATAAACTTATCTATTCAGAGGAGATAGGTTATGTAAATAAAAACGGCAGGATATTAAGCCTAAAAGAAATGCATGGGTTAATATGTAAAGAAGAACATGAGATTACATATTGTCATGATCCAGTGACAGATGTAATCTTGACGAAGTGCATTTTCAATTATATAATAAATAAAGTAACACCTAAAAAATTATTTAAATTATGTAGATGATAATAATAGTATTAATTTTTATTACAGATATTAACGAGTGCGAGTGAAGAGTCATTAGTTTAAAAAAAAAATAATAAATAAATAAGTTAGATAAAATAATTAGTTAAATAAATTTTACGAAAATGAGTGAAAATATAGTAAGAGAGAGTGTAGGAGTAGAGAGTACAGAGAGAGCAGGTATAGAGGCAAGAACAGTTAGAGCGAAAGAATTTTTGCGACATTTGAGTATATTTTTAAAAGGTGAAAATCACAATGAAAGAAGAAGTAGTGAAAGAAGTAATGAAGTAGAATTAATGTGTTTTGTGGAACACATGAATAACGCAAATAATCTTATGACAGAACCATATGATGTAACAGAGGTTTTGCGTATATCAATCCCAATAGTAGGATTCGCACAAGAGGTAATTGATTCTCAAACATCAAATTTAATTTGCAACGAATTAGGTAACATATTAGAAGAGTTAATAGAGGATGGAGTATTATAAAATAATAATAAACAATAAATTCTATTAAGAATAATAATATTTAAATAATTGTATTGAGGGTATGGGATTATATATATAAAAAAAAAAAATGTGAAATTAATCATTGTAATATCTAACACTAAAATATAAGATATTTGTACAACTAACATACATATATTATATTCATAGTAATAATGTAAACTATGTTATAATGTATCATTTTATATTGTACTATAACTTTAATTTTCATTTTATATTCGATAAAAATAAAAAAATATATATTAATATTGTTAATCAAAATATCATGTAAAATTAATTGTATTAACCATATATTTGTATGTCATTTTAAAAAAAAAAATATTGTAAAACAAATGTTGAAATAATTAGGGCTGATTGTAAAAGATTTCTATCTGAGGACAGAAATCTTTCTTTTCGCGCGGAGGTGTTGCGGACATACATGAATGTAGGTCCTTACGACTCTTACAGTACGAGCGGGTCCACATAAATTATAAATATTAGAGAGTAATATAATATTCGCAATAATAATAGAAAGGAACTATTAGTTAAACAGAGGGTAAGCAAACACATATTACGAAGACAGGTAGTATGTAATAAATATTACGACTTATACGACATGGACGGGACCATGTAAATCGTGACGGTAGATATCAAGAAAATAATTATTATTAACACAATATTAGCAGTCGTAAAAATAGAAATGAATTTTAGCTAAAAGCCAGAAGATAAACCAGTACATTACTATGTGTGAATCGCATGGCTATATGTAGGATTGTAACTGGGAAAAATCGTGGCAAATATGGGATAAGTGCGAATAAGGTCATCTAGGTAATAAAAAGCCATTAGAGACAAATTATTTATTATAATTAAAAACAACTATCGCCCAGCGCGGCACGTTTGATCGTCACCAAACCTAAGTATATAAGGGGGTTGGGAACAGACCAATATTCAGATGTGGTTTACATGTACAGTCGCAAGCACCTTCACGCCACATTATTTCTTATATTAATGTTATTTTTATATGCTAAATAAACAGTTAAAATTTCAATTGAGTGTTTTATTGAAGTCTATCCTTTAAAAACTTAACCATCATATACGATTGAGCGACGGCACGCAACACTAATAATAGTGTGAACGTTCGATATCCATAATGTGAAAAGTAAAATTTATGTTCTTATTAAAATATAAATATTTATAATATTATTGTCAGGAGAATCGTCTATTTTTTAGATTACAGAAGGTCAACTTATACTACTGTGCACTCTTAGTAATTTTAGACATTTTTTAGTATTTTAAATATTTGTTAATGTACCAAAATTATTTGTAATTTTTTGTTAATTATTTTAATTTAATTATTAACTCCTTATTGCATATTGCACCATATGTGGCAAATACTGGTTTTTTTTATTATTTGTGTCTAAAATAATTGAAATATTTCAAAACTACATACATGGCCAGATTCGGCACAAAAAGGCATATAATAACTTATAAGGTGCTGCCCTCTAGGTTTACAATTTTACTGGCTATTACGAATAATATTGATACAATAATTATCATGTTATCAGTTGTGTTTTTGATTTCAAAAAATAATAAGTCATTTTTAAACTTACAATTTTAGTTAAAAAAATAAATAAATAAACGAATTCAAAATTTTACGCTCTATTCAATCATGGTAAGTACATATTTATGTATCAAATATTTGTTTAGATACACTCAAATTTGGGACATTATACATTTATGATTTGACTTGTGTGCTTTATAAATTATGATATATCTAGTATTTGAAATATTCATACAGTTGATTTTTCCATTATAGGTAAAAATTAATGTGTCTTCATTCTATTCACGTATACAAAATATACCTGATGGTAGTTCAGACTCTGAATGGTCTGATGATGAAGATTTATATATACACATAACCTATATTTCAACAAGACGAATGTTTTGTTCCTGACACTGATGAAGATACTACTATTGATCTCATTAAGAATGAAATCAAAAAGACTGATGAAAAAGTGTGTAAATTACACTGGCTAGTTAGAAGACATTCCTTACTAAACCTGATAAACAAACACCTCCTGTATGTAGTCATCCTAATCATTCAACGTTGCCATATTACCCTTTGAACCGTACGCAGCATACCGAATGAACAGGAATATCAAATGTTCATGAAGGAATCAAGGAGTTTTCTAACCAGCATGTGATTGGACTACAGTTGCATACCAAGTCCTGTTAAACAATTTCTTGACAACTCGCAAGACGTCAGGCGCCTTAAACGTTTGAAGCCCTCAGATTTTGTTTAAGCAATTTTGGTTAAAGAAAAGATTAATCTCATTGGAGAAACAACCCTAAACATGTTTAAGTATATAATATTTATTGCTCACATATTGTGTTTAGTATTTTTTTCACTCATTTTTTTGTAATTAAAGACTACTTGTCATTAAATATTTATTTTATTAGAATTTATATTATAATGAATACTGAACAAGTAATTGAAATTATTTGATGAAATAATATCTTTTATTAGATATCGCCTATTGGACATTTATAAACGGTCAATACCGGTTTATAGGATTATTTATACCTACACAAAAATTATAAGTGGTAGTTTGTAGATTACATATATATTTTTTTTTCAATTGGTTCAAATGTGTATAATATATATATATATATATATATATACATTGTATATGTATAGTTATAACTAAAGCCCAGATTTAAATGTGTTTTACCACAAATTATTGATTTTATTTTGAATAGGCTAAATTTGTTTAGTATGTCAAACAAAAAATGCATTAAAACCCAACAAAATGACCATAATAATAATAATAATAATAATAATACTAAAAATACTCTAAATATTAAAAAACGTTGAAATATGCAAAAAAAAATACAAAATAAAATTTGTAGTTTTGAAACCCTCGTTACATGAAACAAATTATATTCTTAAAGAGCATTGTGTATGATCAACCAAAAAAATATACACTTTGCATTGAAATTCGGGCCCTAGTTATAACTTGTAAAGTTATACTATATATGTATCTATAGTTTTTAATTAAAAATTGAAAAAAATTGTCAGAATATGCAAAATAAGCATAATAATTTTAAAATAAACACATTCCTGCAAAATCTATTAAATATGCAAAAATATGATAACTCAAATTTTAGATCTGATATCATGGCACCGAGAAATTAATTTATTTTGCACTGCTATTTTTAACAATAATTAACAAAAGTATGCAAATACTAGAAGCCCCTAGGCCTAATTAAGTTATTACAAATATTTATTTATAAAATGAGTTCTTATATAAACGATCACAAGTTATAAAGACTTGATACAACATTTTATTTTACATTTTTCATCTTGTACCTTTCTTTATTTTTCAAAAAAATTGGCAATACAACTGCCACCTAGAAATGCCGTTGAATAATGCTTCTGGTGATACTTGTCTTATACCCAACACTACAAATATTTCTGTACATTTTATATATATTGTACTATATTTATTTACACTAGTACTAAGCACCTCCAATTTACTTGTTCTAATAATTTCAACATTTTTAGACAAATTTATTCAATTTTTTTTTAGAATTATCGGTTGACAATATTTTATTTAACATATTATTTTTGTCAATGTAATAATGAGTTTTATTTAACATAGGAATACTTAATCATGCCATATTCATAATCATACTAAGAACTATTCAACTTTTTTCAAGGTAACATCAAAGAAAACAATTACTGTTTCTTATTCTAATAGTTCTTATTTGATCAATTTAAACAAAACATTTTAACCATAGTTAACCATTTTAATCAATGACATACTCGAAAAATAATTTGCGATCAGTTTTTGTGTTTTCAGGATTCCTTTATCTTATTGATGATGGCAGATTTAATGAGCCTGTTTAACAAAATAATTTAGACAAACAGTAAATAATGTGATCCCTGAATTCAAATAAAACTTGATTAAAAAATATTATATACTATCGTCACATAAATTATCCAACGTTGAATAATGCGTACGTTATTTCATTAACACAAAAACTGTTTTCAATAAGATTGCTTTCGAATACGGTTTTCGGTTTTGAACGGAAATGTTTGAAGAACAAAAAAGGTCGGTTAACAGAAGATGTTGTACTCATCTCTGTCTGCCAAGCGGAAACTGTATCTAATGCAGAATCAAACTTACGTCACTGGTAAAGAGTAAAAGTAAGTCGAAACATTTTGTTTCGCAGATTATTGTATTCGATTGAATATTGATTTTATTATCAACGACGGCTCCGTCCGTTATCAACGCCAAAACTTATGTTCAACGTAGATAACAAACCGATTGCAAGAGTACTTACGAGTATGTTTCGGTGATTTGAACTTTCCGACGGCGAAGTCCAAAGTCGAAAAGAATACTATGGGAAGTTTACATGGACGCCGACGACCACCAAACGCGTGTAACACTGACACCATAGACCTATAACTAGTTTATTAATGATTTGATTGAAACGCACTTTTATTTTTTCAACCAATCTTGCAAGTTTGGTCGTTGATATGAAGGTAAGACTCAACTTGCCGCAATTTTCTTTTAGTGATCCAAGTCACAGCGACCACTATAGAAGACATTTTATTATTGTGTCTTCTCGCTTTTACACTATAACTTTACCTAATTAGAACGTACTAACAATATCATCAAAATACATTTTATACTACTATAAATCTTGCCATTGACCAAGACCAAGAGGTTGGTTAAAAATATTTCTTAATAATTATTATTGTGACATTAAGTTTATATATCTTTTAAAAAGTTATAAAAAATTAAACACAACAATTTAAAAAAAAAAATTTTATGTTTTCAACACATCGTAAAATGAATACATTTGTCCTGTTAATTTTTTATAATACATGGAAAACATTTTTATATTGTCATAGTAAATTTAACATGTTTGCTACAATTGCACACTAATTTCAAGCATTTATTATAAAAAATTATTTAGTGCTCTCAAATTTTCAAAATTAAAATATAGGCCAAATGTATGTACACATCTATTTACACTTATTTATGAAAATAATAACTATGATAAAAAATAAAATTTTTAGCAAATTTCAATGTCAAAATAATAAATCAATTTGTTTTAATTATAATATGTTATTAGATGTCTTATACTTATTACTATTTTACTGTAGATTAATAAAATTATAAAAAAAAAAAAAGCATTAACAAATCACTTACATACTGTTTTAGACAATTTGACCTACGGCGAAGAATATCGTAGAAATCTATTATTTGAGAAGCTAAATTACAAAGACAGGAATTATTTAATCTAAATCCACCATGACAGTGAGTACTTTTATTGTGTATTTTATGTATTTAATGGACAAAAACAAATCATATCATGTTTTTCTTAAAATTATTTTTTCAGTTTCTTTAACAAGAAATTGGATTTGATTGTTTTTAATCAGCAATATATATATGCATATAATTTACTGTTTTGAATTTTATCTGATTTCGAAGAGCTATAACTTGTCTAAGTATTTTGTCACTTATTTGTATGCAAAGCATAGTCAGTAAAATACATGTAAGTATTCTTTGATGATAATTTTATTTATAATTATTCATAATCTTATCTTTACACTTCACAGGTTTACTTGATTTGGTTTCAAGTTGACATTTAAAATATTGTGTTCCATTGTCAAAAGCGAATCATATACATGTTGGACTGTAGATCGCTGATAACCACTACGTATAAGTCTCTTTAGTAACTGGTGTAAATGTCTACACAAAAAATTATTTTATTGAAAACGTTTAAATATTAAAATATAGGCTAATGAAGCAAATGAGCTGAGATAGTTTTTTTATTATTATATTTAAGGCCACGCCGAAATAGCACGACCTGGGAAAAGTATAAGTATGTAAATATACTACACCCAGAAAAATACTAATTTTGTATTTGTTTTAATATAAAAGTTTTTTGTTTGTATAAATTATTTGTGTTGCATTAGTGGAGCAAAAATATTTTATTGTTTTATCTGATTCCAATGTATAACTGGTTGTTATTATATATTTTATTTTACAATAATATTATAATATTTTATTAAGTTAATAGAAATTACTTATTTCTTATATAATATATCATTTTAAATTGTAAAAGTATTATATGTATGGAGAGCGAGACTTTCTTCACAGTAACACTATTGATACACATCCCCACGGGTTGAGATGTCATAGACAATATAAATATTTAGCAACTATGTATGATAAAATTGATTGAAATTTTTATTCCGATAAAATGAAATCATTTTCCTTATAAATTATCATCTCATTAGAAAAATTTGACCAAATGTATGAATAGTAATACTTCACATAAACAACCGATTATTGTATTTATTAGTTTTTAATTTGTTTCTTTTCCTCAATGCTATTAATTTTACATTATTATGAAATATAATTTCTATTATATTTATATTTTAGAAGAATTTTATACATTTTTAGATGGATTAGTGGATAAGAATAAAAGAAAAAAGTCACAAAATCTTGATAAATTAGGTGCTAAGACAAATTTAATTATTAATTGTTTAATATTTTTTGTACGTTAGTTATTGTATTACATTATTCTCGCTGATATATTTTAAAATAAGCATTATTTATTTGAGTTTACAGAAAAAAGTGAAATTAAGTTGTAAAGTATAGAAAATTAAACGGAAAATTGTTTACATTGACTTATGTATGGTCAATCGAGTTGTTGATCAGTATTCTACTTTGAGCAAATAATTTGTGTATCAAATGTCTGATCTTTCCGATTGAATCAATTCAACATGATGAATGTTGAATGTTAATTTCACTAAATTACATAATATTGCATAAAACAGTTGACCATGACCATAAGTCATTATAAGTAATGTATTTTAAATGTAACAATATTTAGTTGATTTTGGACTGATTAACACAACCGATTTCAAAAGGACTGTTTGAAGTGTACCTGTTTAATACCTAAAATAATAGTAAAAATATCAACACGTAAAGTAATACTAATATTACTAACACGTAAAGTAATAGTAATAATATTAACTCGCAAAGTAATAGTAATAATATTAACACGTAAAGTAATAGTAATAATAAAAAATACGTACGACGCGATGTCGGGCTACCGCGTGCTGCCCTCTACCAGTGGCGGTTGACGTCGTCCGTAACCGGTGAGCGTCTGCTACGCGTAGTAGTAATACTATTAACACGTAAAAATAATATCGGAATTGATTCGTTGCTACGTGTTCACCGTACCGCTTTACAGAGCAGATATTTGGACTATGTCGAAAGTTTCGATCAATCGGATTCAAGCATTTGAGACGTGGACATACCGCAGAGTATTAAAAATTAACTGGTGCGATCGCACGACGTATATCAATGTACTCGGAAGAACCAAAAAAAAAAAACTCCTCGAAGTAGTGAAAACAAGAAGATTACGAAAACTCCAGTGTCCAGGACGTGTTATGAGACGTCGAGAAAAATGAAGTGTACTACAACTGAAATGGTCGGAAAAAGGAGCCGCGGAAGACCTCGAATCTCTTGGTTGGACAACATTAGAAAACGGTTCGACGCGTCCACGTTACTTTTATTCAGATCGGCCGCGAACGAATACCAAATTACTAACGACGTTCGTTAACGAGTACGGTACTCGAAGGCAGGGCCGGCGAGAACTTCGGCGGGCCCCGGGCCTGCGGGGGTTCCGGGCCCACTTCCCTTTGCAGTCGTTTGACCAAGACGCACCAAGACCACTTATACATGCATTGGTACAACAAAAACATTGTATACAAGTCCGAGACGACGGGCCCTCTCGGACGTACGGGCCCTGGGGCTCTAGCTCTCCCTGCCCCCCCCTCTCGTCGACCCTGCTCGAAAGAGAAGAAAATTATCGTAATGATACGAACGCGTAAAATAATAATAATAATACGAACGCGTAAAGCAATAGTAATAATACGAACGCGTAAAGCAATAGAACACGAACACGTGAAGTATTGGTGATAATAAAAATACGTGTATACGACGCGATGGCGGTCCACCGCGTGCTGCCCTCTGCCGCCGTGGCCGTGGCCGTGGTCCGTAAACACCGGCGTTACGGGCCGTCCGCGATGTTCTCGTCACGGATCCCCGGGCCACCGCTCCCCGGCCACCTCACCGCAGCCCGCACCGTCGACACCGCCGTCTGCTCCGGCGTTGCTTCCCGTAACAATTCTCGTTACCACGGAGGCGTCCTCTCCGCCGCGGCCGCATGCCGCCGAACCGGTCCCCGCACCGCGCGCTGGTTCTACGGCAACACCACGCCCTATTTCTCCGGCAACACCGCGCCCCTATTTCTCCGGCAACACCGCGGGCCCATTCCACCGCCGCTACGAGACCCGTTGCGCTGTTGCCGCCACGCGCGCGCTGTTCAACCGTTCAACGCGCAGCCCATGCGTTGCCCCCACGTACAATCGTTATTGATCTACACTCGCGGGTTCAAAGTGTTCGATTACGATAAAAAGAGTCGAATGTGTTTTGACATCAAAACATCAAAACGTCATCGACACATAATACATGTATAATTAATAAATCAATCGGTGATTTCGAGAATGATGAAAACGACTAGCCTTAAATAGCTGAACGATTTTTTTTAGTTTTATCCCGTTTAAAAATTATAAATTAAATTACGCTTAAATTACGGGCGAATCACAAGCTCATCGCAGAATTTTTCGCTGCCTCTAAATGTATATATTGTTTTGGATTACGGTGGTTATGTCTGGCGGTCACGGATCTCTCGACTTTAAATGATACGATCCATATAAAAAAAAAATCATTCGAACAATTACTGTGGACATAAAATTATTTTAATTTACATACGAAATTTTTAAGTTCTCATAAACGTAAATTAGCTAAACTCCGTGTTATAAAAATTTGCTGTTAAAACTGAACTAAAAAACGGCCGGCATCCGTTGAGCATTTTTAAATACCTATCTGATTGTATAGTTAAGAATTAGAGTAATGAGGCAAATACTATGGCTACAAATCGTTTGCGCACATTTACCTTTTTTACAACTCATTGGCGCACAAAAAAACACAACTCATTTGCGCACGATTTGCGAACAATAGAAACCTTTTTTTCGAAGAAATTTACCCACGTTAGAGTGTACATAATCTGTGTACCTATCTCCAAATTGTTGAATTGGTTATAAGCCGGGCTGTGGACCAAAACATTTTTTTCATTATTATACTCTACAACATTTTCCTTCACTCTTTATAAGGCTTAGGACTTTCTGTCTATAATCATATTGTGTGTATCATATATAGACTGGCGGGTTTAAAAATGTTGGTTGAGTTATTTAATTAAGCATTCCTTAGTTGGCCATTTTTATTTTTCATCATTGTTCGATTAAAAATAATTTTATTTACAATTACAATAATTTGTTTACAACTAAGTCCTTAAAATAATTTTGAGTACATACTGATTAAATATTGGTACGCGTTTGCATTAAATATGTTAAAATGTCAACTTTTTTAGATTTTTAATCAGAGTATATTTTTTTTCTATTAAATTATTTAAATAAATATATTTAAATTATAATTAATATAGCCAGTTCTTTTTCCACCGCTAACACTCCTAAGCTCGATAGCCTGTCTTGACACTTGGTCGCACGTAAAACATTTTCAGAATATATCAAATACAGAGAAAGAGCGTTCTGCACTTGCAACTGTAGCAGGAATTGTGATAAATATAAGTAATTATATTAGAAAATGAGTAAAATTTTCCTGAACGTCGGATCAATTATAAATATAATAACAGACAAACTAAGGAGTGTAGAGTAATAACGTAGAAATAGGTAGAGCAGAACATAAGCGAAAATAATTAAAGATAGTTGGTTTCACACAACACAATTTGCACGTCAGTGTTCGCGTTTTTTAAAGCCTCAAGTTAACCACGCGCGCGTTAAGGAGCGTCGAACGTGTTTCGATACTGCGGTTGTGTGTACTATGTATCGCTTGTTCGCTACAACAACGACGTAACACAAAAACCGTCATTTTTGAGTTGTTCGCAAATAATAATAATTTTGGTGCTTTTCTTTGTACTGCAAAAACGAGATAAGTGAACATACTAAAATTAGCCGCTAGATAGCAGTTGTGACGTTATTGCGTTGCCATCGTATCATTGCAAATAACATTTTCAAACGCGTTTTGTGTAAAATCATGTTATTGTGTTATGTCATTGTTGTAGCAAACAAACGATATGTAAATCGTATCGATTTTAGGCTAGGTTCACATGGACGCGCGTACACGCGCGTTAGCACGCCACAGAACGCGCGTATAACCGTTCAGATGGCTGCGTGTCACGCGCGTTGTACGGGAATGTTCTAGTCAAAAACTATACTACTTAGTTATAGTTCAAATGTTCACGAAGAGTGAATGTGATAGATGCTGTGTGCTTATTGCCCGTCCATCGAAGGATGCAGACAAATGACGGAAAGGAAATATTGGGTTCATCCTATTTTGAAAACAAGGCTTTCTTTAAGTCTCAGATTATTATTGCATTATATTTAGTGCTGCATTATATCCTAAACTAATAGAGCACCATGACAAATTTTTCAATTACTTTGAAATGTCCGTTAAACCATTTAACGACCTATTGGAGATAATTAAAGACTCTTTAGGAGCTGATGACAATGTCCCAGATGGCAGGCCTTTTTTTTTTTTTTATTTCATTAATTAACATATCTATTTCGATTTCCGTATTTAAAATAACACTTGTTTTCAAAAACTATAGATGAAAATTCGATCGTTCGCATCGAAACGCGCGTGTCAACTGAACGGTCCG